ACATTATCCCTGATGGGGCTGGCAAGCCTTCTTACACGCCGTTGCGTCCCCAGCCTATATTGGCCGATCATGTCGAGGACAACGGGGACGGCATTGCCTTCAGAACTGCTGACAAAAGTCTCTGCTCTCAAGACCTGGATGAACCTCGAGTCGGCTATCTGGGACCGGACCCGGGGCGTGAGCAGCGTTTTGGCTGCAGGACCGGCAGTCCATCCACCAGCCAGCCTTCAATAAAAAGGTGTGATACGGACCACAGACTGATTCGTTCTCTGTCATGGTTTCCAAGCGATACTCGAGGGAATGCCAAGGTTCCTCAGACTTCCCAGGAACACCTCAGCACACACCGGTCGAGGGCACCAAGGAGTTTGTGGGTGTCACATATATGCTGCTTTATATTTGTTTTTTTGGGGGGAAATGCAGCTGTTCCTTAATCAGACTTATTATCTCATCTTGCCGCTTTTGAGTCTATTTTCTTTAGCATTCTTACCTCTTTAAAAAAATGATTTCTGATACTGGCTCCACCCGTTTTAAAGTTTGCCTAAAGCTCTGGGGGAGGAAAAGCGCAAACATACACATGAAAGCCACGTCAAGGGTCCCTCTGGATCCCAGTCGGTGTTCTGATATTGCTGTCTAAGACTTTGTAGGTAAGCTCCGAATGCTACATACAAACACAATCGGGGCCAGCGAGCGGACAAAGGCTCTCTATCTATCCCTGCTCCTTCTTCTCTCTAACTTGTCCTAACTTTTCATGACTGTCTCCCTGACTGATTCCCCCTCTCCTCCTCTTTTTATTATCCTCTCTCCTGGTTCTGCCCTCCTGTCCTGTCTTTGGCTCCCACATCAGGGTTCTAACGTGATGGACCGGCGTGACCTTTGGACTGTCCGTCACAAAGACATACTGGGAGCAAACAGCATAAACCAGCCTTCCCTGAGCTGATACCTTCCAGGTGTGTTTGACTACTACATCTATCATCCCCGACAGTTGCAACCCATGCCTGCTAAGGAAGAGAGGAGATGGGAGTAGGACACTTTCCAAGGGAACCAGCCCTGAGGAAGTCCACCCTCGATCTCACTAGACGGAAATACAGACTGGATTCCATGTCACATTCCCCACCAAAATCACCAAGGAACCTTCCCCACCCGGTCTGTTTACTTCTTCCGCTTCTGGCCTTTCAAACCAGGTCCAAGATTGCAGGGCAGAAGCACATCTCCGAGGTTTTCCTTTTTCCCCGTAAGTGGATGATGGCATGGCGGCTAACCTTCTGCTGATGACTAATATCCAGCGCATCCCTGAGAAATACAACCCAGGTGGCTGGAGGCAAAAGGTAATATTATTTGATTCCAGCCTAATCATACTACTTTGAAGTTGCCGGAGAAGTACTTTGGAAGGAAGTACACAATTAAGCTTCAAAAAAGAGACAAGATGTTTATTATTCACGCATTAATCATACTTCCTATTTATATTTCAGGATCCATTTGCACGCCACTAAAACACTGCATTGCAGCAACCGTTTGCTATAGCAATGCTTTGCAGCATCTTCGAGTCGGAAGACGTTAGGAAAAACACACCTGGTTCAAGGGCCCCTGTGTCGCTGTCAAGTTGCAGGACCCGAACCGGATGCCATCGGCTGAATCGATCTCAAAGGTGTCAAGGGAGTCGTATCCCACCCCCACCCCAGGAACGCCAGACAGAAAATGGCTAATTTTGCACATGGGGTGTGTGGCAAAAATGTTCCCTGCAACCCATGAATGAACTGCAGAGCTCTTTCCTGGGATCAGCCACACGAGATCACTCAGTTAATCACATTAGATTTCTCTAATGATGGTTTGGAAGGGCTTGATAGTTTTTTTTTTTTGTTTTTTTTGGAACCCCACGTTTGCAAAAGAGAGCGACGTAAAAGATCTGAGCAGAGAACAGAGCTATCGGAGACTGTGACGAAATCTCTGAAAGGGTCACAAAGCAGCTTTCTCTGCCATGGCCAAAATCCCATTGCTTTGCACAGGAACTCACACGAGGAGAGGCTGGCAGAATTAATGGGGACAGAGCAAGACCACTCCTCTGTGAAGTTAACTGCTGCTTTATAATTAGAGCGGGCCCCTTTGAATCAATGGAAATTAGGGAGGAGGGGAGCCACTAAAGCCCTACTGGCAATTTTATATATGTTTTAATTGTATTTTAATTGTACATACCTTTCTTGTATTCTAAATGCTGTAAGCCGCCCAGAGACCTTTGGGTAGTGTGGGCGGCATATAAATTAAATAAATAAATAAATATGCCTTGTCAAAAGCCTTATTTCATTCACGGTATTTATTCTCAGGTAAATGGGTATAGAATTGTTGCTTGAATGTAGGAAAGAAATCAGTGAACCTTGCTTCTGAGTAAACCCTTTATTATATATTTACAGTATTAGTTATATTATCACATTGAAAAGATTGGGACTTAAAAAGTTGTTTTTGGTTGTGTTCTGTATCAAACAATTTTTCTTTTTAAAATTATTTTATTCTAGTACTCATGGCAAAAAGAAAAGAGGGAAGCTTTTCAACACCAGTATCTAACAAAAGACGTAGGCAGGAAATCAGAGATGATTCTGATGATGATCCTGATGAAGATGAATGGTCACACCTGCACAATGACAGCAGTACTAACTCTCAGTTGGTAAGCTTTAATACTGCTTTAAAATTTCTATTAAAAGGAAAAAGAAGCATTAGTAGCTGAGAAGCTCAACTGGCAAAGTGTCAAGTGCAACCATTATTAAGACTCATGAGCTGAGTTCCTCTCTAATTGCAGGGTAAAACCGACACATTTATTGAGTGTATTGGTTATTAACTGAAGCTAAAACAAACACAATCAAGGGCATTAAGTTGCAGGAATGAAATATTAGAAGATTAATCCTATAGAATATTTAAATTAATTAGTATGCCATCCCATCATTAAAATGCCCTATTCTGGGCAGTTTACATCACGATAAAATAGAACATACACAAGGGCATTCAACTTCTACCCTGGAAGCAGGTGAAAAAGCCAGGGCAGTCAACCTTTCTCCATTTTTGCCTTACAGATCTTAGCTTTTGAAATTAATAAACCCAGTTTAAAAACTAGTACAAACATAGGAAGCTGGTGAGGCCGTGGGAACTGTCCAATGTAGTGCCGTATCTCTCTCATGCTCAGCTGAAGTTGCGGGTGTGCACTCCATGCAATGGGTTCTAAGAGTACTGACTGGGAGAAGCTGAGCTAATCAGTATTTGTTCCATAGCTTCAGAACTATTTCCAAGGTGACTATTCTTCTATTGAAGAACAAAGCTCTTTGGGAGGAAAATCCTTATTCTGAGAAAGGAGGAAATAATTCCTTTTAGGGGAATCCTTGTAAAACTAACTGATGCCATCTCATGCCAAGAATATGGGTGCTCTTTGAAGGGTGTCTTCCAGTAGTTAAAAACACAGATGGGTTGTGGTATGTGCGTAGATTGCAGGGGGGTTTGCCTTAGACGTGGAGAGGTAATAGGCGTGATACTATGTAAAGGCTAGTTGATAGTGTTGTACAGATGTCGGTGGTCATGGTATGCATATTAGCACCAATGTTGAAAGAATTGTAGTTCTACAGTTCTGATATTCCATGACAGTTTCCCCTCAAATGCTGCTCCTCTAGATATAACTCTGTAAAAAAAAAAATTCAAATCCCACTGTGTCAGAAACAAAAGTCCCACTTTTTCTAAGAAAGGCGTTTCTGCCCCTACAGACATGTTCCTACGGCTTTTCTCCGCCGGAGGGGGGGGGTTGGGAGGAAGCCATAAAAGCACCACGGAGGTTGGCATCCTGTTTAGCCACAGGATTTGTGCAAGTGGGTGTCGCTTTCTTCTCCCTGATGCCAGGAGCTATCCAGTCGTCCACACGCAGCGAGACATCTGTGGCAATTGCAGAGAGGAGATGATAGCCTCAGGCACAAGAGCTGGACCACAAACTCAGCTGAACTGGGCAGAAGTCCTGCTCCAGCAGAAGTCAACGGAGGAGCCTGGCCTGAGCATTCAAAGCTACGACCAGCATGCTGAAGGGTTGCAGAAGGACAATCCATGGCGAACAGGTCAGAAAGAGAGAGATTCCGGGTGGTGAAGACCAGAAGGGATTGTGAAGAGCTCCAGAAGGAACTCTTCAAACTGGGAGAATGGGCAGAAAAATGGCAAAGGGATTTCAGTCTAAGAAAATGTAAAGTAATGTCCACCGGGGCAAAAAAAAATAAAAATCAAAACTTTGGTTATCAGCTGATGTGTTCTGAGCTGACCGTGATGGATCAGGAAAGATCTCGGTGGACAGCTCGATGAAAGTCTCAACCCAGTGAAGAAGG